ATAATTGCATCACAATTTGATATGCTACGAACTTTATTCGAAAAAAGGGTGTGCTATGATTGTGCCGCCGAAGTCTACGCAATTGTGAACGATCTTGCGCGCCTGCACGAATGGGCAACCCGTCATACTGACCTGTATGTTGGTGCAACACCCTGTACATCTAAAATATGTTTAATATATATTTATATTGCAATATAATGAATTTATGTTCTGATTTCTATGTCAACATTTCACAATTCATTCATTTCTTACGACTTTTGTTTTGCGCATAATTACCCGACGCGAGAGAAGTTTTTTCGCTTTTCCGTTTTTTCCTTTTTGCCAAATACAACCTTATTGAATGAAAATCTGTTCAAGATAAGAATACGTAATGATAGAAGAATGTTTATAGTTTCTATTTCCATATTTATATCGCTTTGATCTTAGAAAACCATCCCAAGAAAACAAATATTCCTTAGGTGCGCACAATTCTCCCTACTATCGACCTTGATTAACTTCGGCCGTCACTCCATCATCTCCTTAACGACAATCTCGATATTTCATTTTAATTATAATTAATATTTTATTTTAATTCATTTTACTAATTTTAACAGTTATAACATGTCACATCATATATGTGACAATGTTGCCATCGCTGATTATCACAACCGTCATGTGTGGTTGATCACGTTCGAATGTGCAATGCTGTCATTGCTAGGTTAAGTCAAAAGCCCTCTATTGTCGAAAAAACGAGATGGACATTTTCTCCTGGTCGACGATGACAATAATAACGATAATAACGATAATAACGATAATAATGACGACGACGTTTCTTAAATTAATTCTAAAAATCAAAAAATCCGGACTTTGCGTCGCGATATCTCCGCTCGTAGGGCACGTAGAAAAAAAAATAAAAGCACTTTTATTATACAATCCGTGTGGTGGCTATCGATTGAGCATACATAGAACGCGATCGGTTCAGCCGTTATTGAGATCCGATAATCTCGATTTGCCGCAACTCGTCGGTTCGCGTAAAGGAGGCACGGCAGTGTCGCTTCGCACAGCTTAGCGCCGAGACACTACCAGTGTCTCCAGATGGAGGTATGAAGAAGGAATGATTGAGAGAGACAACCCAATAAACATCGTTCCGTAACATTTATGTAATCATTACGGAACGATGTTCCACTGTTCTGTAAGAGTTACGTCATTTTCAGATCAAAATGTCAGCATATTTTAATTATATTTCGCGTAACAAAGTTGGTAAAAGAAAGGAACGTACACGTAACATTTATATATAAATAACGTAACATTATCACAGTTACGTAATATTTACGAAGTTTTCAGAGAATAAAAATTTATGTTATTCAAATTACGTAAATGTTATGTTAACTATGCATCGAAATAGTGACAGTACGGTCATACGTAATAGTTATAGCCATTTTACGTCAATGATATACCTGCTACATTTTTGGTTCGTTGTGCTGTTTTGTAACATTTACATACACTGTGCTATGTAAATGTTCCGAAATTGTGCACAGCCTGTTTACTGGGAAAGGATTGAATAATTTTAAACAAAGAAGTAATATAATTTTAATATTCATTTATTTAATATTCTCGTTTTTCATATAATGCATGGCATACAATATGATCTGAAGCATATGCTATCAATTCACATTCGATATTAGAATTTCTATCATAAATCTTGCGCAAAAAAATATTTACCGCATCAAATTTATTCATAATGCAATTTTGACGTAAATAAGTCGAAAAATATTTGAATTTATCGCTTACACTATTCATACAATGACATAAATCGGAATACACGTGTTCAACGCATCGTTTAAGTTCAAGCATAAAAAGTATAGTCGATGGTTTCATATACAAATACTTATCACATAATGGTAATTTTACATTGTGCACATTATGTATTTTGACAAGTTCAATCACAAAATCTTAAATCACTAATGACGATGGAGTATTCGACTGCACCAATCGCTCGATATACACCCGTTTATCGACGAATACCACATAACATATGGCAGAATAATGCGGTCACGAGTATCGCCGATCGCGATTTCCACGTGGGGCATAGGTCCCACGGCTATTTCAATATCCAGATATTTGTAAGCTGTAGGTGTTAATGCGTATTTTCTTCTTAAGGTATAAGCATGTAATACTACTATATTGCTAACGCAGCCTCTTTTTGAGAGTGGGGGGTGTGCCAAGATAGTGAGATAGAAAATCGACTTCTCGCTTTCACAATTCGTGTACTTCGAATGCGCATGCAACGTATGGGGGAACGTATGTGCGCGCACTCATGGCACGTGTATTGTAGAGGTTAGACATTATAAAGTAGGGGAAAGTGGGGGAACTGTGCGCAGCGGGTAATTGTGCGCATCCTGATTTGGTACTTTTCCAATATATGAAGACATCACCGTGGCGAAATTTTTACGCAGAAAGTCGTCCTCTTAAGCTATAACTACAAAAGATACGACGTACATATATCACTAGCCAGAGAAATACAAACAAGTGAAATTACATCTTTTCTTGTTATTTTAGCATTCAGAAAATAAGGTGGTAAGTCCATATTTTTAATTTGTTTGTTTAAAATTGTATATGTTATTAAAGTACGTTATTATGTGCATCTTTTGAGCTGTTATTTATTAAGTTTGGTTAGGAATTGTTGAAGTAATCGTATTTCGTACCGAGTCAGGTCGCGGCGGACAACTGTGCGCAAGTATTTTAAAATGCGCACAATTACCCATCTTCCATATACTCTGTATGACTAGCACTAGTTTTTTCGTTTATTTTTGGCATTACTACTTTATTTTGCCATTTTATTTTGCCAAAGTCTATGTGCATTATTATTATATTAGTTTTGTATTTTTTCTTAATATATACAATGTACATTTAAAACATGTTTAATATATATTTATATTGCAATATAATGAATGTATGTTCTGATTTCTATGTCAACATTCCACAATTCATTCATTTCTTACGACTTTTGTTTTGCGCATAATTACCCGACGTGCGAGAAATTTTTTAGCTTTTCCTTTTTTTTCTTTTTGCCAAATACTACCTTATTGAATGAAAATCTGTTCAAGATAAGAATATGTAATGGTAGAAGAATGTTTATAGTTTCTATTTCCATATTGATATCGCTTTGATCTTAGAAAACCATCCCAAGAAAAATATCCCTTAGGTGCGCACAATTCGCCCACTTTCCCCTATAATTAAAAGAGAGAGAAATATCAAGTATAACAAGATCGCGGCATTATTTCCTTTTTTAAACTAATACTTCTATATAAACCAAATAACAAACTCAACTTCACTATTGAACACGTCGGACACAATAAACGTGATTATATATGATAAAATAGGTTGGAAATACGCGCATGCGCATTGCGAAAGTACACGAATTGGAAGTGAGAAGCGATCGTCTGCACCGTGATGTTTGCTGCAGCTCTTAATTGCCGTTAGCAATATAGTATTATTACATATATGGATATAAGGCATATAGCGAAGAAACGTGCTGTAATAAAAAACACGAATATAGGTAAGCGAGATGTAGAGAGAAAATGTATTAAAAAATTAAGAGTATAAAATTGTAATACTTACTTGCATGATTCTTTTTGCTGTATCAGAACGTAATAGTTTACACTTTGTTGCATTTTCGAGAAAAGCGGTAACGGCTGTAATGAGAATCTGCTCTACGTTGTACGAGTGCTTCATCGGTGTCCATTGAGCGACTGACATAATAATATGGCCATGTCTCTCTTTTAAATACTGAATCCCTCAACCAATATTCGAAAGTTTCACATTCCATAGATATCAGAGCGTTTGAAGTGAGCAGACCGACTGAATTAGTAATATCATCATAAGTATCTTTAATAAGTGCTCCCCATTTCACATTTTCCAATCTAAGGGAATCGGCGCCAACAACAATATAGTCTGTCTGTTCCCATTATCTTTTTTCAAAAATGTTTTAGGCAATGTATCCAGTCTAGAATTTTACTTATTTTAAAAATTATGCAGGTTAATTTTTTTAATGTGTGGGGGAAAAAAGGAGTGTGTCGCAGGATGGAAGGAAATCGGTAATTTTACTCAATACATAATGGAACTCTTTATTTGCTTCACACGTCTCTCCTGCTCTCCTTTCCTGATTACAATGTAATAGATCCTGATCGAAGCGCTCTTGTTGATTGATCTTATCTATTCTACTTATCGATCGTAGGAGGGTCGGTAACAATAACCGAGTGTTTCTCCATAAATGTAACTGTCATTAAGCCTAATGCACAATGACACATGTACTAAGAATGTACTTTAATGATATCGAACCTTTTTTTATCTAAGAGATCGACGCTAACAACTATAACGTATGCTGTTTTTTTTCCCTCCCTCCATGAAAATAATGCACCATCAATATCCCATTTCCATCTAGTCTTTTGTCAAAAATGTGGAATTTACATATCTTAGTTTTCGATATAGAAGTCATTAAACCATACTATGAATCATCTAGAAGGATACAAGAGTAAAAAATTTGATAATGGAAAAAGATTGAATGTTCACAAAAATGCAACTCCTACCTTCAGTAGCATATAAAAATGGAGAGATCTGTATATATACACGCTGTTAGTAGTGCAATTGAAAGGTTTGAGGGAATACATACGCGAATCTTTAATTTTTTCTAAATTTTTTTCTTCGAGTTTTATTCAAGGTGGTATACGAAGATATAGTAGAAGTAGAGGCAGATTATGAAACTCAAGAAGAATTAGATTTAGAAGATTCAGAAGATAAATTTATAATTGAATAAGAAGTATCAGAATCAGATTATAGTATTGCGGACTCATGTTATGAAAGCGACAGGGACAGTGATATCGTTAGTCATGCTGAAGTAACACGTCGTTCGATAACGCGAGCTGAAATCAATACTTTGGATGGAACAAATAGGATGTGCGTCATATACTTTTATTATTTATACACTTCAAACCATTCTTCAGATTGTGGTAAGTTTTGCTCATCGTGCATCATAAGAATGCACCATTAACATGTGCAAGATTTATTTTTACGTCATCACGCTGTTCGATAACATGTTATTAGTCAATATATACATATTGAGAGTTTGTATTGTAAGGAATGCCCAAGGCTGGGCATGTATTTGAAATACTTTTATTTGAAAAACAGTATTGGTAAGACAATTATATTTTACATTTTGTGTTTGTTCAGAATACATGAAAATATTATATATTTTGTATTTCATGGGAGCATATAAAAGTATTTTGTATTTTATATTACAGTATTAATAACAAAAATTATGAAACTATTTTGTATTTTGTATTTCAAATTCTATTAGGTGTATAACTTTGCTTCCGCCGTTTATTTTCAGAAATTCGAGGCTTTACTATAAAAAACTGGTTATACATTTATGACTCAAAGTATTGTCCATCGCTGGCCACTACTTTCTCCCATCTTTTGGGCAGCGTACGAATCCCGCGTCGAAAAAACTGGTCATGTTTCGAGGCGATCCACGAATCGATCCAATTTTTTACTTCTTCATAAGACCGGAAGCTGGTCAGCCAGGCCGTGTGACATTGATCGAAACAAGTGATAGTCAGGGGAAGCAACGTCTGAAGAATACGGCGGGTGAGGTAGGACCCATTTCAACGTTTCCAAGTATGTCTTGACAACTTTCGCAACATGGGGTCGAGCAATGTCACGCTGCAAAATTACTTTATCGTGTCTCTCGTTGTATTGCGGCCGTTTGTCTTTCAATGCTCGGCTCAAACACATCAATTGCGTTCGATACCGATCGCCTGTGATTCTTTCAATAGGTTTAACAGCTCATAATACACTACGCCGAGCTGGTCCCACCAAATACAGAGCATACGAATATTCGGTTTGGCCATCGACGTGGAAGCATGGCCGGGAACTCCCCATGATTTTCTGCGTTTGGGGTTATCGTAATGAATCCATTTTTCGTCTCCAGTCACAAAGCGATGCAGAAATCCCTTCCGTCTTTGCCTTTCAAGCAGCTGTTCACAAGCAAACAAACGCCGTTCAACATCTCTCGGCTTCAACTCGTACAGCACCCAATTTCCTTATTACTGAATCATTCCTATGGCTTTGAGGCGTTTTGAAATGGCTTGTTGAGTCACTCCCAATGATCGTGCCAATTCTCCTTGATTTTGACACGAGTCTTGATCAAGTAATGCCTCCAATTCTGCATCTTCGAAAACCTTCTCTCTTCCACCGCTATGCCTGTCTTCGATGTCAAAATCACCGTTCTTGAAGCGTTGAAACTACACACGACACGTTCTTTCACTAATAGCGGCCTCACCATAAGTATTTGAGAGCATTCGATGAATCTCAGCCGCAGATTTCTTCATATTGAAGCAGAAAATTAAAACCTCCCGCAAATAACGAGAATTTGACTTGTAAACTGACAATTTCAATCGAGAATAACTTTATGATACAGACACAAATCGACTAATGTTTCTATGGGGTTATGTTCACAGATGCCCAAGTTTATTGTGTGACGTCTATGATCTATTTATTTCGACCAGCACTTACCGCTAAAGCCATCTATAGAAAAACGTTGGAAGCAAAGTTGTTCATCTAATAACATTGACAATCAACCTTATTATTTGAAATACAAGATACAAAAAGCTTTCAATCTTTCGATTTTAAATACAAAATACGTAATACTTTTATGTGATCCGCTAAAATAAAAAATACAAAATACGCTTGCATTACAAATAATATATTTTAAATAAAAGTATTTCAAATACATGCCCAGCCCTGGGAATGCCGAGATCCGCTGTATCAAATATTACCATGGAATCTATGCCCTGGAAAAATTGGAGGAAGGTGAGTTACCATCACGCAAATCTTTTTATAGCTCGTTGACAGGTGGTACCGTATCCGAAAGCAATTATGTGCACGCCGTGAATGTATAGCAGCGATTCTCCGTTCGAATATTCGGCTAATATAGTGACCTGTACTTAAGAGAGGAATTCCATTTTTTGAACGAAAAGAATTGATTCTTTGGGGAATTTTTTTTAATAAAGCATACCAGGTATGTAAATATGAAACCGGAATTTACCAATAGATGGCCATAGCTGTCAATGTAGTTGCCGTCAGACCGCGTCATTGACGCCATTTCCTTGTTCTGACATCTGACAAAGATTTTCAACTCACAACAATACAAGTTTCATACAACAGTATAGTTTGTAATAGCGTTGAACATGTCGAATTTTGTGCCTGGATTTGCGGACAGCATTGATTTTCTGTTACCATTTGAAGAAAACTGCTGCAGAATCGCATCGAATGCTTGTCGAAGCTTATGGTGAGCATGCTCTTGGTAAATCACAGTGCTTTGAATGGTTTAAAAAATCCAAAAGTGACGATTGTGACGTGAGAAACGAAGAACGTAGAAAACCATCGAAAAAGTTTAAAGACAGCGAATTGTAAGCATTGTTGGATGAGGATGACTCTCAAACTCAACAACAACTCGCAGATCAATTGAATGTGACACGAGAAGCCGTCTCCATACGTTTGAAATTTATGGGAAAGATCCAGAAGATGGAAAAATGGGTTCTACATGAACTGAATGAAAGACAGCAGGAAAACCGAAAAACCACTTGCGAAATGCTGTTCGCCAGGTACAAAAGAAAGTCATTTCTCCATCGAATTGTGACTGGCGATGAAAAGTGGATATATTTTGAGAACCCTAAGCGTAAAATATCATGGGTAACTCCTGGCGAACCATCGAC